TTTTTTTTTTTTTTTTTTTTTTTTTTTTTTTTTTTTTTTGTTTGTTGAGTACGAATAGAGGAAGAGCTTCGCCTTATAGGTCAGCATATTCATTAGCTTGAAAAGGGAATGATTGATTTTAAGTTAGATCCTTGATGAAAAAGTTATAAATCTACTGGTTTTTTATAGATTTGTGCCGAAGTACAAGAACTCTACAGGCATAAGAAAATGTGTCCAGAGTTATGCCATTTAAAGTGGCAGCTGTTTGCTGCATTAATGCAGAAACGAGAATTCAAGAAATGAGAGGCAATGTTTCAAATTTGGACAAACTATTACAAAAGCAGTGCCATTGAAGAACCAAATTTATGGCGATGAGCGAACGTTCTATAGCAAAGTCCGCGAAAGGTCATACACTCGCTTTAAGGGCTGTCGTGATAACGTAAATGAAAATTGACATATTGGACAACCCAAATTTATGATAAACGAAAAGCCAGCCAACCAACCAATCATTTGGATCGCTCACTTGGCCGATAGATCCAAAAGACCTTGCAATGTTCCCTGGGAAATGATTTGTGTTATTCGTTTAGCTTAGCGCCGTATGATGGCTGTCGATTTGGGCAAATGCGTTTGCTGATAAGGGGAAAGCGCTACGCGAATTGTAGGCGATTCACTGTAGGCTTGCACTGCTTCAATATTAAAAGTGCAAGTAAAGATGATATCTTTTTCCAAATCAGGCACCCATCTATAGGTGACGCTATTAGAATACGTTACTTTGGAAAGTATCCTGTTTTCCTAGGCACTCGCATTCTATTTCATAAAAAGCTTCTTCTCTGTGTGTCCGTCTCTGTAAAAATTGATATAAATAATATTCGAGAGAAAAGGTCAGGGCAGAAAGTTTGAGAAACACAAAAAGACGAAATATGAGATTACGAGAATGAGAACGAGAACGATGAGTTCCAACACTGCCCTTTAATTGACCTACCAGCAATTCATACCATTTTCAAAGTTCTTATGTAAATCTCACGCTTTTCGATAACAGTAAGTAATAGTTTAGTTATTACGTTAACAAGCGCTTTGTTCGTTGGAATGCAAATTGCTTTAATGTTGCCTCACTGGATTGTTTCAGGGATGAAATGATGTCGCATATTGTTGTGAGTAATTCGCCTATGATGTAATGGCTGATTGCTTAATAAGTTTTCGTTTCGATTGTCATTAAATAATTTTTTAGCTAACAATTTACTAATGATGTCCCTTATAAAATTTCTTCTATGAATTAATTCGGAAATAGTTACGCATTTAAATTTTATTTGCAATATTCTCAGATAACGAATGCCTTTCCATAAACAAATGCATCCTTCCGTAATCGATTCATTTCTCTCCCGCTTATGTCAAGGCCAAATCAAGACTTCGCTGGCCATTACATATCAGAGAAGTCTCTTCGGGTCGATCCAACGTTGAATAGGCTGCTTACTAGGTGTACCAAATTTTGGTCGACTACTCACCCTGAGATGCATTAATAGTTGTAATTGTAGTTGTGTAGTGTAGTGGAACCATCCGTGCCGCGACCTAAAAAATATATTGAAGTCGCGCATGCGCCTGGCTCATCAGCTTTAGGATCCTCCTGAATCTCTCGCCTTCTTAGGTTCGGTGCGCAATGCACTTTTCGGCGTTGTAAAGTTTTCGTTATATACCTGTTGTCTGAGTCGCATGGACTTTTCCGTCATCTCTTCACAGAATCGCAGAATTTTACACAATTTTTAGCTGACCATTGCCCAGCACTCAGCTGGCAATGGTTTGCTGATTTTTTCTCTGAGCGTTGCGATACTAGCCTTTTGATATTACTTCTAGGTATGCTATTGTCGTTCGATATCTGAACGTCGCGATATCTTTATCAGATTG